AATGGTTTGATGTCATTGGGGAGCATACGAGCTCTGGTCATGACTGCAATTTAGTGGTGCTATTTGGCAGCAAACCAACCCGTTTAGAGGGGCCCGATCATAACCGTTTAACCACGGTACCATTTGGCGGCAAAACCGTCAGTTAGAGGACACATGTCACGTTCTTACTAGCATGAGATGGTTTGAGAATGAATCCTAGTGATATTCTCGACCGGACACTAGCTCTTTGTGAGCTAAAGTGATTTTTAGATTTGTTCACCTCGGCAAACTGTTGTGGAGGGTAGATAGATTTTGCTTTAAACGTTTGATGATTGATTTCAATTTTAAATATTTTGGACTTTGGAATTTTGGATTTTTCAATTTTCGGATTTTGGATTTGGTGGGTGTTTGAGTGGCATTTGGAATATTTAGAATTAACCCCTACACCTGAGTTTTTTTTGTCAACACAACCATCATCGAGGTGTATGGGGTTACTTCCATTTGTGGATTGAACCTTGTCGACTATGTAAATTTGCCATCAGAGGATCGAGTTCTTTGTCGGTTGTATATTTTTATCGATGAATCTTTCTTATCAAGGGCCTTAAAGGCCTAATATGAACGCATTAATTAAATATATCGGTCGATATCACGACCGTATGTCTGTTTAACAGTTTGAGCCATGTCAAATTCTATCCCGTCACATAGAAGGATTGGACTCGAGCTTAAGTTCATTTCTCGACCCACACAACATCCCTAGACATCACATGTGTACCAATAACACGCTCGCCGGTGCCCATGCTGGTGTATAATTGCATATACACTTCTTTATGTTTGTGTTTATACGTATTATAGTGCATGTGCGCACAATATTTGTCGAGTCTTATATGACAGCTCATAGAAGCTCATGCTTGTCGTAGTCTTTTTGTAGTTGCCCGTAGGTGATATATTGAGTGCACAACGGGTCATCTATAGAGGCTCGTAAGCACTTATGCACACTGTATATTTTTCACCATTACATGTGAATTATGTGCAATAATCAGCATAAGCTTAGAGGACCACTCGTTCATCATGACAGTCGCAAGCCTCAATAATCTTATCCACTCTTGACATTCAGAACTTGGTTGGATCGAGACTTACTCGCTTTAGGCCTGAAAATACTAATTTGATCTGGCTTTCTCTTCCCAAAATTCATATAAAAATCAACAAGTAATTCCTGATTATGCCATCATCATCATTTTATATTGTTGGCTTAAATAAAGAGCCAATCATTTCAATCTTGGATGTTTGTACCCTTACTGATGTCCTATACGTCGAAATCAAGGGCTACCACTTTGAATTGACAACTACAACAATTGAAGACACATCATACCGACCAGGAGAACCATGCGACATATTCGGTTCTCTGTTATTTCTTGATATGCATGCATGAAAGCTGAATTCAAGAACATCTAGTTCATCAGCAAGGTATGAAGTCTAATTCTCTCTACAACAATCTTTTTATGATATTAGAGCCAAAATAAGACTCATGACATTCATATTTGAAGGTCCTCCTGCTTGTTTACATCATGACTTTGAAAACCTCTATGAGCATTAGTATAAAGGTTGCTCCTTCGGCCGGATGTTCACCTACTCCTCCATAACTTAAATTTTTTATGTATTCCATTAAAAATGTAATCATAGTTCAACTAGCACTTGACAATCACCTCACGTGGAGGTCTCAAACGCTTAAGATGTTTCGAGCAAATGGATGTGAAGGTCATTTGGATGGCACAATTGCTTACCCTTCTTGAAAGATAAGTACTGCAGCTCGTGAAGCAATTCCTAATCTTCATTATTCCAATTGGATGCTTGTTGATCAAAATCTCACAGTCACAGTATTTTCCACAGCCTTTGCATCATTGATGCCTTATACTTTTAACCTTGAATCATGTGCTAAAATATAGAATACAATTGATAAAATACTTAAATCTACCAACTGTTCCCGCATAATTCAGTTGAAAAATGAATTGCATCATATATCAATAAATAATAAAACTACGTAGCAATATTTATCAGAAATTAAATTGAAAGTAGGCACTATAATTGCTGCAGGGTGTCCTTTGGATCCCAAAGACATTATATTATATGCTCTTCATAAACTTCCTTCATCCTATCAGGCATTCAAAAACAGCGATAGGAACTAACCTTCAACCCCTTACATTGGATGATTTCAACTCCTTATTGTGCAGTGAGGAAACAAATCTTGAAAATGAAGCTGCTCGAGAACTTCAAGTTGTTTACATTTCTGAACCTTCAATGGTGTTAACTACATCTTGTGGTAGGGGTATAACACATCCGCCTTTGTTCACCAAAACAGAGATCGTCGCAATTTTTTGTCTCTGCTAATTTTCCAAGCCGCCAGTTTTCATCTACAACCAGGGGAGGTCGTCCCATTCCACCTTAGATTGAATGTCAAATTTGTGAAAAATCTGGTCACTCTGCTCTCCAATGCTGGCATCATACCAATTTGAGCTACAACAGCAGCTCATTTCTAGCCTTGTTGAAACTACAAATTTTGGTATCTCAAATTAGCCAGCTGATTGGCATATGGACTCAGGGACTACTTGACATTTAATAAGTAACTCAAATCACCTTTATTTATTCTCAACCGTATTTCAGACAACACCAAATTACTGTTGGCAATGGCCAATCTCTTCCCATTTATCATACAAATCAAGGTCTCTTACCCACACACACACCGTAAGCTTTCTTTATCTCCCCTTCTTCATGATCCCAAAATTTCTCATAATCTCATTTCAGTTCATTGTTTAGCTGCGGATAACTCTTGTTTTATCTCTTTTACTTCTAATGGTTATCATATCAAAGATTGGAAGACAAATCAAATGGTCCTCCCGGGACCTTAAAGTGATGGTCTTTATCCCATCCATGTTCTACCTTCATCTACTAAGCCTTCAACTTCTATTGCAGCTCTTTTGTCCACAGACTTCTACAAATATATAACATTGTCGTTTAGGACATCCTCATCCTGTGCACTATAGTAAATCACGATACTTCTTTATGTATTACATCTCATATAACATATTGTCATTATTGTCAAATCGCTAAGAGTCATAGAAAGTCCTTTAATGTTTCTAAATCAAGATGTAATTCTCCTTTTGAACTTGTTCATTTTGATGTATGGGGTCCTTCCCCGGTAACTTCCTTTTATAGATATCGATATTATGACTTGTTTCTTGATGATTATTCTTGATTTTGCTTGGTGTAACCAATGAAGTATAAATCTAAAATATTTTTCTAAATGTCTGTTGTTCAATGTCATGGTGGAAAAACAATTTGCTAAGCTTATCATAATTTTTCGCTCCTACGAACTATTGACAAGATCTTCCTTAGCATATCCATCAAGATTATTCCTCTAACACAACAAAATTCACTCCTCAAACCCAAGAAGATTCTATCTTTTCGCCTTGACACATCTATAATCATCACCGCTCAATCCAACTATTAACGATGCACTATATGATCAATTCATGTATAGAGCAATGGCCATGCCAAGAATATTTCCTATCACATCACATCTCTCTACTACATCACTCTCAAGGAACAAACAACCCTCTAATAATCTGATTGTCCAATGACTATCACCTAACATCTGATCATCTCAAAGCCCGTCAAGTGTACCACTTCCTCCACTACTATCAGATCAGGTCACCCATGGCTCACTTATCATTATCCAATTTAACAATGCCTCAAGCATAGAGGTTGCCTACAAATACCTATTATTTGATCTTCAAAAGGATCTTTACACACCCCATTAAGATGAACTCAAGCTTTATAATTCTATAGAGAGAGTTTGAAGATTGAGTGTTTGCATTACTTTTTCTCTAGAAACGTCAAAATTCTCAAATGGACCTAAGCCATGTTGTTGAAACACTTAAAATCATTATATGTTGTCTCCTTTTGTTCTATTATCTTCTACTTGTCTATTCCTCACTTGCTAGTCGAATCCTTCTACAGCAAGAAATCAACAAACTAGAAATCTCAACCCTGTTCTTAACCTCACTAACATAGCAGGAGCTTGACTGAATCATATATATTACTTTCTCCAACCATTTTTCACCATTCACATCTTTTTTGCTGCCCTCATTAAGTTGGCTAAAAATTTGTGGATGAACGTCCAACTCCAAGTAATCATCCACCGTCTCCAACCTTTCTTATGCACTCCTAACAGCAATAGAAGCGACGCTTTTCTTCGCCCACAAAGACATTTGGCACGATGCTTAGTTCCTGGAACTTTCTATAAGAAGTATCTCGTTCTATACTTTACCTCTGAATATTATTCTTAAGGCTCCTATCTCATCTTCAGCGACAACTCTAGAATCACATCATTGCCATTTCTGGCTCTCCTGTTGTCAACTGGCATGCCAAACATCATTAAATTAATTAAACAGAGAAGTTGACCAAAATATCTTTAATAAAGCCTTAAAAAGTATATTCAAATTAACAGCATGGATTTGACCACATATGTCAAGATTCATGCTCTAATTATCTACAGACAATGAGATTCGAATAGGATAATGACAGTTCCATCTCATAATGACGGTTCGAATAGAATTGAATCTAGGCCTGGTTGTTCTGCTTTGCCCGCCACTTGATTCGAAATGTGGTATAATAGAGGCCAATCTAACATCAAACCGAGGTGAATTCTGCCCTCCTAAATATCGATCTATTAAAGCATCCTTGATCAGTTGGATTAGACAGGACTTACCAACTATCCTGAGATTTACCACCCAATTCCACGCCACCTCAAGCCAATTCCACCTTGATGAAATTTATTCCACAAACCCTAGAAGATTCTGCTTTTTTGCCTTGACGCCTCTGCAATGATCATCACTCAGTCCAACCATTGAAGATGCACTATATTTTCACTTCCTAAATGCAATAATGGCCATGCCAAGAATATTCTCTATTGTAACATGGATAGAGTTGTTCGAAAAAATTTATGAAGAATACTTTTAACATCGTAGGCCTAAAACTTTTTTTATTCTCGCAAAGAAATTAAATAATTCCAACATGCATCGCACTGCACTTCGAAGTGGATACTAAATGTTAAAATATGATTCACAAGCCATCCTTTTCAAGTTATTTCAAAAACGTATGAAAGAATATTCAGATACAATTTGTCAATAAAATCGTAAGTACTGGAGAACTGAAAGTTTCCACCTTGCTAGTATCCTTAACATGAAAATGTTTGCTGTTGAACGATGCATGCTGTGAGACTTCTGAGGCTGATAACAAAACACCATTACAAAAGTTGCTCTGTTTCTCACCCTGCAAAACAAAGAGCTTATCTTTAGCTAATCTTATAGAAGATATTAACTTCATCAAGTTTCAAAGATCAATACTTACACACTCATCCACGTGAATTGCTTATGTATATATGTTCAGGAATATTAGCCATCACACTTTAATAGCCCATAATCAATCTTTTAGCATACATAGAGAAAAGAGATGTTCTCAGATATATCAGAAGTAATAGATATAACTTTCGATAAGAAAGTATCTAAGGGGTTGTTTAGTCATAAGTATTTAAAATTCAGATGCATTCTAAATAGAATGTAAAATAAACTCAATGTATTTGAAATACTTCGTAATATTTGGTTTGTTATAAAGTAATTCTAAGATATCATTTTTTGGTATTTTGATTGCTGCGAAGTAAATGAAAATCGCAAATTGAGGGCTCACCACTGACAGTGAGGCCTAAGTGGGTCACATGTGGTTGTGGAGGCAAACGGGGGGTTACAGCGGTCATAGTGGAAGCTGGAGGCAAAGATCTATGCCGATGAGGGCATAAACACAAGGAGTCAGTAATGCTGCTAGTAAGGTGGCGCGAACATGGGGATGGTAAGACTGGTGACACTATGTGAGTGTCGTGAGTGGTGAGATCACATGACCGTGTGAGCAACAAGGTCTTATTACATGATATGATGTATTTACTATTTAGAATTAGCCCGAATTGGACGAATTCCAAATACATTAAAAATGAATTGGTTGATGTATTCAAAGCCCCTATTGAAATAGCTTTAATTTATTTTACAGTAAACCAAACACTCAAAAACTTAAAATCCATGCATTTGAAATATTGTATGATTTAAATCACTCCAACACAACCATAAATATAATTGAAACTCAAAAAAGAAAATATCAATATTTTCAATATTATATCATCACCATCATTAGTCATATCCCAACTACTAGGGGTCTACTCTATGAGTCATCTTTTTTCACTTGCTCATTTCATTTGTTCCTACTAAATTGTTGCACTCTGATATTAAAACTATTCTTCGTCAATCTTTTTGAACAATTTCTATTCATGTTAACTTAATTCTACCCATTTCTCTTTCCTAATATGTTGACACTAATCTTATCTAATCATCTAGTGAGTGCATTTTTTCCCCTTGTACAAGTTCGAACCACCAAAATATATTTTCAATAACTTTTCTCTAGTAGATTCAACTATAATCATTCATCTAATATAATCAATACATCTTCCATCCTTCATAGGTTTTCCATGTCCAATATTCTTATGTTCATCATGCTCAACTTAATTATTAGTGAATTTTTACTGTTAACACTCAAATACATATCAATAGCTAATCTAATTGTAGTTTTATAAAATTTACTTTAATTTCTCCAGGAATACACTTTTCAATTTTAATAATATAGCTTTAACTTTAGAAATTATATCATCATCTAAATAATTCTTTTCAATGTTTAATACGTAACTAGATCAATCTTTTTCAAAACTAAAATAAAAAGTTCCCTGGCGCATTCAGTTATTTTGTTAGATTTGCAATATACACAAACGCCTGTAAAGAAGGAAGATCTACAAAGCAAAGCTTTTTAGCAAAAACGCAAATTAAGAACAATGCAATCATCCATAATTCTTTTTTTAAAAGCTTAGTCAAACTTCAGATAGAGATCATTTGCTGAATATCAATGTTCTGTTTGTGAGTTATCTTAAAAAAATAAAACCACAAATACTTCTAATCTTCTTGTTCATCATTTTTAAGTAACAATATAAATTGGAAATATGGTCCTCTCTATGCTTAACTAGAACATAGATAAACAAATCAGCAGAGCAAGCAAACATCTATTAACGAAGGAGCCATTTGAGATCACTGTTGTCTTTTTTTTTTTAATTTATTTAATTCATATTTTAATAAGAAATAAAACATGCTTGATATCTTAAAAAAATTATTTTTATTTATTTATGTGATAATGGCAACAGTATCAATGATAATTATTGGCAGCATGGCAACGATGGCCAACGAGGCGACAACGGCGGGGTGATCGCCAATGGTGGCAGTGCCGCAGTGGTAAATGTAGTAGTAGTTGAGGTCAATAGTTGTGAATGTTAGTAGTGGCAACTGGTGGCGACAACGAGTAATGATAGTTATTTTTAAGAACATTCAAAACACTTAAAATTTATCTTTTAGTATTTTAATAATAACTAAATTTATTAAAAAAAGCTAAAAAACACACCAAAGAAACATAGTTTAAGAAAATTATTACAAACATATCCGAAATAAATTAAATTTAACATAGGAGTTGATTCGAGTTCTCATTTTATCAACCTTCTGGCATGAAAAGAGAGAATGTAAATACTAGCAATTAAAAAGTTTATTAAAAGTTACAGACAAAATTGAAGTTAAGAAGTTTCAAAATGGTCGTAGTTTTAATAAGCAAAATTATATTGGTAAAATTTGAGGTAGACTACTGCAAAGAATAAGTGGGGTAGCTCGTTAAAATCCAAAGCAGCTTCTACATTATTATTATTGAATTCACTAAAAATCTGATCATAATCAACTTAAATGAAATTTGATTTGATTTCTCATATGATGAACATCATGATGTAGAACATTGGAGGGTTTAGAGTATCTAATGCAACTAAATATTCCAATGTATGAAACCACAAAAATCAGTTTTAGGATTTCACAATTCTACAAACCACCAATTGAAACAATAATTTTTATCCTTTTTATGTAAACTGAAAAGTTAACAAAAATTCAGGTCAAATAATAATTTTATGATTGATTCAAATGACATTCAGTAAAAAATTTAAAAGCTCCAAAAAACCTCAAATCGGTTAAGATTCATATAGCCAAAAAGAAATTCAATTTTGATAGATTTAACCAAAATCAAATATGCTTGCAAAATCTAACATCAAATTAAGCAAAAGAAAAGAGAAGTAAGAAATTGCCAAATATATAAAATTATCAGGCCTTACATTTGGTCAAAAAGATATCTACCCCTAAAAAATGACAGTAACACTTGTACAATATGCGAAGGAATTAACATCCAATCAAACACACAAAGTTGACACGAACTGGGAAACCCTTTTTACACGCCTTAATAAATCAATATTATAAAAATCCAATTCTAAGGTCGATTCCTTAAACCCGAGCACTAACTCCAATAATTATAGTCAATAAGAATCATACATCCATGCATAAATCTCTCTCCAAAACCCAATTACGATGTAAGCACACAAAATAAAATCTATTGAGAAAACATACGCTACAAGAGCCGCCTATAAGGTCCACCGCTTATGGATATGTTATAAAGAACAGTCCATAGCTTTCGGTAACAACCAAGACCAAATCCTTAAGAAAGAAACACTGTCCCAACTGCAAAAAACTACATGGCCAAACCCTGCTACAATAGCCGCACAACTTCAAAAAGATAAATCAATTGCAATTAATACTTATCCATACAAAGCAGCCCAATTGAATAGCTAGAAAATTGTTTAAGTCTAACACGTAAATACGTAATGATCTTTCAGATTACAAAATCAATAGCAACAGCTTGAACCTAGCAAAATATGAGGTGGATCAAGCCAAGGAAATCATACCAATAGAGAAAACACATGTTCTCATAGGCATATTCCAAACAAATTATAATTGAAATAAACAAAAGAAATATAACCACAATAATGAAACCCAAATAACTCGGATCATTTATTTGCTCCATACTTCCAACGAATACAAACTTGTAGTTCTCCATCATATTCTAAGATAGAGAAATATAAAGATTGGCGCTTAGAAAGTCCATAAAAGACAAGTTATGAACTTTAAATATGATGGACCGTAGTATTAGTAGGAAAATTTAAATCTGGTTAAATTAGAGAACAGGTTAACCTATCGTTATGATAGGTTGGACAGTTCATTAAAACCTAGAGCAATTTATACACAATCATTGAATTGACTAAAATAACAGAAAATATCACCACAATTTAAAAGGAGACACTAGTTGAAATGAAAAAAATAGAGCGAAAGATGGAGAATGCAATGCATAAAGAAAATCGAGGATTTGATTTTTTTCTTAAGGTCTAAAAGACTATCATGCAATTTTTTATTTGAGCAGTTTCAGCTTTACCAGTGCCATAGAGTAGGGCAAAAGTTATGACTTTTTTGTGCAAAAAGGAATTTTAGGACAAAAATATTGGGACGTGGAAAGTGTATAATTCAGTAGATATGACTGAGCATGTTATAATTGTAGAAGTTAGCAGAAAAATAGTTGAACATGTTTATATTTACATATACAAAAAAAAAGCTTTAATTACTAAATATGTGGCAGATGAGTACCTCAGAAGCATTTCCTTTATCTTGAGCATCATCGAAAAGTGGTGTATAAGGAGATGCGATACGAACATAACTGCCAAAAATATTGTCTGAACATTGTCTAGCCATATCTTCAGTTGGCGGATTTAAGAAACTCCTCCGATAAAATGCTTCGTGATAGGATACACTGTCCCCATTTGATGGACCCAATCTGTACATCTGGATCCACAACAATGAGGATAAAATCCTGACTGAAAAGCCCATAATTTGCATTGAAAATGCTAGTCTGAGAGAGAACACATAGAATGGATCTTTGTTCTCATTATAAGTAAAGTTCCTACACAAGAAATTGTAAAAATTAGGTAGAAAAAGAATCAATGTGCATGAAGACCCGAAGTATAATGCTAACGAACACATAACAATGAAAAGAATAGCGTAACTGATAATTTATAGAAGGCACACGACATAAATAGCTCAGCATATGCCCGTCACCATTTAATGTGAACACCATTTGCAGGTTAGTAGTTAATGTGAATTACCAACTAGTGGTTGCAATTATGAATTACCAACTTGATTCCCGGATGAAATTAAAAAATATCATGCGCCAAATAAATGGTGTTCACTCATTGGATCACATGAGAAACATATAATGACATTTCTAAAAATGCTGAGCCATGTAAAGGGATCCTTGATATTCAAATATTAACCCTTTTTTTTTTTTGAGAAAAGGATCAAAATGGTCTTTTGACTCTTTATGAAGGATCAAAATGACACTCAACTATATTAAAGGATAATTTTGATCCCTCAAATTTTTAAAATCAAAATAATCTCATGGTGCAACTATTTTGGTTTCTCTTTAAGAAATTGAGGGACAAAAATGGTGATTTAATATAGTTGAGGACTATTTTAATCTTTCATAAATAGTTGAGGGACCATTTTGATCATTTTCTCCTTCTTTTTCCATCTCACTACCATGTAGTTCTATATTTCATCCACCGCAAACTCAATATTTGCCTCAAGCATAAATATCCGCCATACCATCTAGTGTAATTCAATTGTAAAACCTTCTCTGAATATACTATTAGCAGCAGGTTGTCAGGAGTTGGGAATTTTGTTATGCTAATTTGGCTCCTCGTATGGTTGCCCTTCATGCATTATCAAAATTTAAAAAAAAATATTACTGCGCCTTCAAGAAAAAAATAAATAAATATATAGCAAACCTTCAGGATTCCGAAGAAAGCAAAGAGGGCTTCGTGGCAGCAAAGGGAAAAAGGTGATGAAGAAATGTATTGATGCAGAGCAAGTTGATGAATAGAGCACGTTAAGACGCAGGACATCTTACCTCCACTTCAACTTTCACCACGCTAGTACCATTTCTATTATTTTGGTTTTATTACTACTTTTTAGTTGTTATACCAGTAATAGCTTTAACAAAATATGATAGAAATAGAAAATATATATTAGTAGGTAAAGAGGAGGACGCGGCCTTTTTCATATATCAAATTACAGGATTGTTCTATTGGAAACTTTATTTCTTTCTTGTTTGTCTGCTATTCTTCTTCTAGTAGTTGCATTAGGTTGGTATCAGAGCCTACTCCTGGAAGCATGGCGGATTGTGGCAAGGAACCGGCTGCCGACGATGATTGGAGCCTTGAAACCTAAAGGAAAAATCAAGAAAACCTCACTTTGCAGATCGAGGAAATATCTGCAGATTTTCGACATTTCTCCGTCGAAATACGCCACGATTTACATCTAACACAGATGAGGAATCCGCCTCAACCACATCACCGAGCGACTGCACTGGCAACCATACTAGTTACGAAGAAATGGGTCTTGACCGAAATGTGCAAAGAGGGTATGTGCAAAACCATGAAGTATCAAACTCTGAAGATGATACCCGACAGTTCCGCAGGAGGGATCTGGCGCATTCAAATGAAGAGAATGAAGGTAATGAAATTCATCAAGAACATTTCAAGCATCGTTGTCCTGGGCATTATTGACAATGTTCAGGAGAATTTAGAGTGAAATTAGATGTTCTATTTTTTATGGGCATTTGCATATAAAGGATTATTTAGAGTGGGAAAAGGCTGTCGAAAAATTCTTCGAACATATGAAAATCGAGCCCAACAAACAAGTGAAATATGTCACTTGTAGACTTAGAGGAGAAGCTAGTATTTGGTGGGCACAACTACTATAAATGAGACAACGAAAAGGTAAGGGCCAAGTGCGTAGTTGGATTCGGATGAAATAACTATTGAGAGCACATTTTCTTCCTATAGATTTTGAGCAGATATTATATATGAGGTATCAGCATTGTATACAAGGAACTCAATCCGTAAGTGAGTACACTGAAGAAATTCATAGATTGAGTGCGAGAAATAATCTTAATGAGCCCCCAAATCAAATGGTAGCTCATTATATCGGTCTCAAGAATAGCATACAAGATAAATTAGAATTGAACTCAGTATGGTCACTATCCCAGGCTATAAATTTTGCATTGAAAGCTGAAATGCATTAGTAACGCCAATTTAGAAACACCTATAGTCGGCGACATTTCAAGGAACTACCCATTGTAGCCAACAAAAATAGCTCACTTGTTATCAAGTACCCAAATGTTGTGAATCCATCCAGTCAAGTTGTTCATTCATGAACTCAAGCTAATCCCGATAACAAATTCTAACCCATGACTAAAATTGTAGCTAAAGAAAACCCATATGCTAAGAGCTTTACACTCTTCTGTTGTTTCCAACCCGGTCATAAATCTAACGAATGCCCTCAAAGAGGGCAAGCACATATAATGGAAGCTAAAGAAGGAAGTGAAACCATCAACCCGGAATTAGAAGGGGTTGGAGAAACAGAGGGCCTGATAGGTGATGAGGGAGAACCTTTGGTTTGTGTTATGGAAAAACCTTTGCTAGCTCCTCAACAAATGATTAATTCACAGCGTAATGCCATTTTCAGAACACGGTGCATCATTAATGGGAAAGTTTGTGATCTCCTCATCGATAGTGGGTGAACTAAAAACATAATCTCTAGGTCGGTTGTCCGAAGCCTTCAGCTCAAAACTATAAAAAATCCTCATCCCTATAAAATATGCTGGGTAAGGAAATATATGGAGATTGTGGTTACATAAATGTGTTGAGTAACCTTTTCAATCGGCAAACAATACGTTTGTGACGTCTTATGTGATATTTTGGATATGGATGTTTTCCACCTCATATTGGGTAGACCATAGCAATTTGACAATTGTTCCAGCTATGATTGTAGAGCCAATGTTAATTCTTTTGAGTGGAAAGGGCAACGTCTACAGCTGCTACCCAGTTCGAATGAGCATAAATTGTAGACTTCTGGGCATACAAATTTAGTAGCTATGCATATAGTTTCAGGATCTGCCTTGCTTCACTGTTTGCATGAATCCACCGCTTTATTTGTCACTAAATCGAGCACATACTGTAATCAAAGATAAATTAATGGTGAGATAAGACAACTTATAGACAGTTTTAGGGACATTAGTCCGGACGAGCTTCCTGCTGACCTACCCCCTCTATGTAACATGCAACATCAAATAGATTTTATTCTAGGTGCAACAATGCCCAATTTGCCTCAGTATCGGTTGAGCCCACAAGAGTAGGACATTTTACAGAAAATAATTGATGATCTATTAGAAAAATAGCTCATACAAACCAGCTTAAGCCTGTGTGCAGTCCTTGCATTAGTAGTTCCAAAAAAGGATGGTACCTGGCGCATATGTGTGGACAATCGAACCATTAACAAAATAACTATAAAATATAGATTTTCAATGCTACAAATTAATGAGTTTATCGACAATCTTGTTGGCTCTTCCATCTTTTCCAAATTGGATCTCCGTAGTGGGTATCATCAGATCAGAATTCGTTCGGAAAGACCGCATTTAAAACTCCGCATGGACTGTGCGAGTGGAAAGTGATGTCATTCAGGTTATGTAATGCAGCCTCCACCTTCATGAGAATGATGAATGAGGTATTAAAACCTTTTTGGGGCAAATTTTGCATTGTTTACTTTGATGACATATTAGTATATAGCAATACTTTGGAACATTGTGTCGATCACTTGGCCGCCATCTTTAAAGTTTTAAGACAGCAGCGCCTATTCATTACCCTTACCAAATGTGAATTTGTAACTTCCAAAGTCCATTTCTTTGGTTTTATAATTTCCCACGAAGGAGTACAGATGGACCCATAGAAAGTGGCTGCAATTGTAGATTGGTCGAGCCCCCGTTCCTTCTTTGATATTTCAGAGTTTTCATGGCCTAGCTAACTTTTTCTACCGCAAATTCATTAAAGGTTTCAGTCTTATTATGACTCTTATAATAGTGTTTAAAATCAAAAAGATTTTAATGAGACATTGAACAACAAAGGAGTTTTGAAGCTATCAAGAAAGCTTGAGCTCAGCACTGGCATTGGTGATCCCTAGCTTCAATAAGGTATTCAATGTAGATACTGACGCCTCTTCTATTGGTATTGGTGCGATGTTATCCCAAGAAAGTAAACCGGTTGCCTTTTTCAGTGAAAAATTATGTCCAGCAAGACAGAAATGGATAATTTATGAGCAAGAATTTTATGCAATAATTCATGCACTTAAATAATGAGAGTACCATCTATTACATTAGGATTTTATTCCCTACAGTGATAACAAAACTCTTTAATATATAAACAATCAAAAGACTATTAACAGGATGCATGCCCGATGGATAACATTTCTACAAAAATTTTCATTTATCCTGAAGCACAAATCTGGTATACAAAATCATGTAGCTGATGCTCTTAGCAGAAAAATTGTTCTTCTTACACAGCTGCAAATAGAAATTACAGGGTTGAACTGCCTTAAAGTTTTATATCACTAATCCTGGTTTTAGTGACAATTGGAAACAATGCCTCGCTGATCAAACTATTAATGACTACAACCTGCGCCATGGCTTCTTATTCCGACATAATTTGCATTCCCATGTCATCCTGGCTGCAGCACCTAATCCGTGAGGCACATTGTGGAGGCTTAGCCGCACAGGTAGGTCACGACAAGGTGCTGCAGCAATTGAATTAGCGCTTCTTTTGAACCTACCTTCACCGTGATGTCTTCAGGCTTGCCGATCATTGCTACATTTGTGAAAACTATAAAGGCGGAGCTCAAAATGCTAGTCTTTACATGCCATTATCGGTACCAGATTCTATTTGGAAAGATCTCAGCTTAGATTTTGTTTTGGTTTTACCACGAACCAAGCCCTTCAATGACTTAATTGGTTGTCAACAGGTTCTCCAAGATAGCACACTTTATCTCTCGTAAGAAAACATCTAATGCCCTTCACATTGCCCATATTTTCTTTCAAGAAATAGTTCGTTTACATGGTTTGCCTCGGAACCTAACTTCTGATCAAGATGTTAAATTTATAAGCCACTTTTGGTGGGAACTTTGGAAACAGTTGGGCATTGATTTACCATTAAGCTCCACTCATCACCCTCAATCGGATGGTCAGACTAAGGTTGTCAACTACACCTTAGGCAACATGCTTCGTTGTCTGGTATAAGAGCACCCAAAGCAATGGGAAAACATTTTGAGTAATGCCGAATTTGCTTAAAACTCAATGACAAACCGTTCCACTGGTAAGTCCCTTTTCAATATTTTATACACTAAATTGCCTAACTTGGCATTAGACATTGTTGTTTTACTAAAATGCAAGCCAGTGGCTACTGCCACCTTCACTAATTAGTACACACAAATGCTTACGGAGGTGTGTCAACAACTTACCAATTCCCATTAGCGATACATGGTTGCAACAGACATCCACTGCAAACAGAAATTATTTAACGTTGGTGATCTCGTCATGGTCAAACCGTGTCTCGAACATTTTCCTCCTAGAACATATTCGAAGCTGACTCGCCGTAAGATCGGCCCTGTGCCTATCATTGCAAAGATCAACGACAATGCCTATACTATTGCCTTACCATCAGACTGTCACATGCCTCCTACATTTAATGTATTTGATATCTAGCCATGTCATCCTCCAGATGATGCTCCCATTTCACTCAGCTTGTTGAAGTCGAGCTCTTCAACTGCTGGTGAAGACACGTACTACTGCAGAGCAAGTTGATAAATAGAGCATGTTAAGATGACATCTTACCTCTACTTCACCTTTCACTACACTAGTATCATTTCTGTTCTTATAGTACTATTACTATCTTTTTAGTTGGTATATCAATAATAGCATTAACAAAATATGATAAAAATAAAAAATACATATATTAGTAGGTAAAGAAGAGGAGACGGGCTTTTCATATATCAAATTACAGGATTACTATTCTATCGGAAACTTTTTCTGTTTCTTGTTTGTCTGCTATTCTTCTTCCAATGGTTGCATTACGTATTAATGGGGCCATAAAAAAGGAGACCGTTTTCAGGGTCTCTATGATGTGTAGGAGTAGGTGCATATAAGTGGGATGTCGCCTATTTCTCTCAGGAAAACGATGACTGCTCCAGAAAAAAGGGACCTTTCTAAGGCTTTCAATGATGCGCACAGGTGCAAATAGGTGAGACGGCATCTTATTTACGTATTCTATCATCATTTCTGTTATTCCTATCCTCCAATTCTCACAGAACAAGATGGACATCATAAGCATGACCGTCAATCTTATGGACAGTAACCAGGTGGCATCCTTGACATTCACTTGCTGGCTATAACTGTGGCGAGCTGCAAAGACGCCGGACTAGCATAAATGCTATTGCTTCGCATGGCAGCAGCCCACCATCTCTTCTCTGCAAGAGAAGATGGGCAGGCCTTGATATGGAAGTTTTTTACAACTGTACCAACTGAAAGGTTTGATCTTGTGCTTGCTTACCACGCTGGGACAAAGATAAACCAGTTGCAATGGCCTGCTGCTCACCGGGATTGGACTGGAGTTTCTTTCTCAAACAAAGTGTAGCTTCTCAGGGAAAAGAAGGATGTACTTGTTTGCCTTCATTCACGTGGTATATGCAAGAATTGTATTTTGTATGATAGTTTTATGTTTTCAGGAAGTACTAAATGTTGGTTCCTGTCAAATGTTAATCTTCCTTAGTGACAACAAAAGAGCCGGATTAATTGAGGATGATTGTCAACAGGTTGTTCTCTATTGGTCACTATTTTGTTTTTAGTCAGTCTACTGCTTTGATGGAATATTTTTTAGGACATTAAACAAGATGCCATCAATAACCATATTGCTTATGACGAACTTTCTCCTCAACAAAACAAACGACGGTGGATACAATGCAGTCAATATTTCCACTTTCGGTAAATGGTAAAGAGCAATTCAAAGATGACTAGATGATTAGGGGTGTTTGATTTAAAGAAAAGTGAGTGTCAAGTACTCCAAATATAAGGATTTTAAGAATTTTGATGATTGGCTTGATAAAAAAGGAGTACAAAATAAAATTTTGATGTTATTCAAACTCACCTTGTAGTTTATTTTTTATTTATTATAAACTTGCCCATTTTTTTAACAAATTTCAAATACACCGCAAGCTGACTCCATTCTCAGCGCCGCTACTACCAACATCATCTGATACCCACCCATCATTGTCGCCAGCCTACCCTTCGCCACCGCGCCGCCACCCACTTGCTATCTCTGCTTGTTGCCATCAGTTGATCGCCTCCACCTGCCACCCACTACCTCTTCTCTTGGGCATCTTATTCCTATTCTATAACAGAGAGTTTTCCATTTCCTATTCCTTCATATAGCACTTCTTAGATCTTGAGAGTGAGAATGATAAGCACACACACACACACACACACACACAGAGAGAGAGAGAGAGAGCACAAAATCACCAAAGGATATCCTTTGCTTCCGTTTTGACGATTTGGGAGAGATGAATTCCTCTTCTCTTCATTTGGGCCTTCTCTTGAGAAAGGCTCCTCCATGTTTGTATGAGATCTTCTCCACTCCTCTTAAGTAGTTTTCAGATAAAAAGAACTTTATACATACTTCACACTCTTCTAGGCTTAACTCTTGGTGGCCTCTTATCCAAGTGATAGGTTATTATAAGGCATGATACCAACAAAGATTTCGAAATTCAAACAAAAAAAACACAATTTTTGAACGAATCAATGGCTCTGCATACCATATTGTGCCCGAGAAGAACACAAACCAAGCAGCATCAAGAAAAATCATGCAGCTGAGGAGCACGCCGTAGGTCCTCACTAGAATTTGGCTGCTACCCTCCATAGCCACAATGGCAAAGAGTGCCGCCACCATGTTCGCCAACAGGATACCATTGAACAATGCTCCCAATGATCCAATCATCGAGCAACCAATCTAAATAACCCAACAAGAAGCCGATCAAACAATTACTGTCAAACTGAACCCAAGTTAAAACAAATTCTGAAACAATGAACTTAAAAATCCAAATGCACAAAACGAATTTAAACAAAAGGCTAATTTGATGGAATTGTGATGCGCCATTGGTGCCGTAAGAGCAAACCTGTACATATAAGAGAAGAATGGCAAGCCCTTGGAGGCTGCCATGATCCCGAAGCCACAACCGTAAGCGCGGCCCAAGCGAACGGAATCGCCCGAGCATCCTAAATCATGAAAAATAAAACAGATATTGATCCAAATTTCCGAACATTTGCGCTGCTGTGGCGACGGCGGTGCCTTAGGGGGTAGGGGGAACGGGGCGAGTGGGAGGAACGCCGAAGAAAGCACATTTTTTAGGGGAATTACATTCGTACCTTTTTATTTAATGCTATTTATATATTCAATATTTAAAATTTTAATATTATATGTCTATTATAAATAGATAAAATAAAATATTAAATTTAATTGGATAATATAAATGATAAGAATGATATATTTAATATTAAAATTTTATATGAACGGTAGGAATATAATATTACCGTATTAATTCTTAGATATGTTAATATCATGAAATAAAGTGGTATGTATGTAAATTTTCTTTTTTTATTGGGTACCATCCTATATCATCTTATTTATAAATCTAACACTCAAAATTTTTAATATTTCATTTATATCATTCATAGACTATTTTAATATAAATATGTCACTACATCACGATCTTACCTGCGAAAATCTCCCTCTCAACATGCAACAACCTTGGCTTGGCAAATCCTTTGAGCACTCTGGCGCTCTTCAGCCAAGAATTTCGGCATTGCTATTCAACCAAAGATTCGGCACTTAGAGGTGATGTGAGTTCGTCTCTATTCTTCGAGTTTATTAGCCTCTCATTTCTTCAACATCTAGGGCATTTGTTAACGGATTTAGTCGACAACAAAGATCCACTCAACACCAACTACCAAAACAGTGAAGACCCAAGCAATCCTTAAAAGGTAATGTAAATTTTTGTATATACCTCAAGCTAGAGAACTTGATGGTAGTCTATAGTTTGCTGTTATTGACAGTTATGGCTTGCAACCTATACATTCAAATTTGGGTTCATATGCTTCCTGATTTTGTAGTTGATTTAAAAATATGTTTGTTTTAGCTTTAGTCCACTAACAGTTAAATGATTTTAAAAATTCTAAATTTTGAGTTAATTGTATGATAATTTATATTGATTTGTATAATGGATGGACAAGCTTTATCTTATTTGGAGGTTTGCATAATGTATTAAGATGGTGTTCTTGTTATGCAAAGTATAATTGTGTTAATTTTCTTACTGATCTAACAGAATTTGTGTTGTTTCAAATGATTTCAAAAAACTCATCTATTACAAAAGTCAAATACCAACATTCTCAAGTTTTCTGCTATTGTCATGTGAAATGTGTGTTGTATACTTACTACCGAGGACTTAATAGAGAAAAACAATTTTATAGGTGCATTGATAATCGAACAGATGACGATTGCAATTACTTTAAATGAATAGATGAACTAGAAGACCGATCTTATGCCACCCATTATGAATTAAAAGTTATCAAGGCAAGAATTTCCAAGAAGCTTGACTTAGTCGTATTCATGATGAAAGTCTTTGTTTCGGTTGTTGTTTTGACCCATCATCAGAGTTTAATTTGTGTAGTAATATGTTGTGTGGAATGAGTTTTGAATGTTAATGCAGTGTATGTGTTGCAGATTATTTGCTTATTTGAACTTATATTTTGTATCTTAAAATGTGAACCTCTATTTTATTTGTTTAATGAAGTCTTGCTTGCTTAATTGGATCTTTCTTTTGTATATGAATATCAATGATATGCCAAAAAAATAAAAAATAGTGAATCGTGACCAACTAAAATAATTTTACTTTATAAGATGAAGATTGTATAAGTCTACATTGTTCTCTTATTAAAAAATACTATAATATCACATATTGCGTGAACTGTATATATTATAATTGAAATTCATTTGTAATATATACCAAAAAGGGCTCATTATTAATTGAAATTCTAGTTACATATACCAAAAAGGCATAGTTGAATATATTATAGAGCTTAACATATACAAAAGATGGTCTGTCTACGTCTATAATGTAGAAAGCACATACAAAGAAAAAAAATGATATTTCTCTTACCAAAAGATAAACTTAAGATGCTAAAATGAACTTAGAAACCATCAAAATATGACTTTTGGTATTCATGATCCTCAATGTATATATACAACTAGTGCGATATTTTCCTCTTTATTACTCATCATTCGTAATGGATTCTTGCAATTACTCTGATGATCCCTCTAATGGCCATATTGACCGCATTTATGAATTTCTTATCTTTTTCCAAGGAATTTTATAGTCTTATTTTTCTTGTTCTACACCTTGATCTGGATATATTGGGCATTCCTCTTTACACACCATTGTCTGCTGCTTGTCACTATTCTTTCCTAGGTAGTTGACAACTGCTCTATCGTAAGCAAGTCTATACGTAAACCAATTGTATCTTCAGATTAACATATTTAATATGTAAATAATAAAAAAATTTATTCATGAAAGTATATGATGCCTGACAACATAATAGTAGTCATCAATGTATGTATGCCTCAATGGGTGCTCCTTCATGCCAATAAAAGCCACGTCATGAATGCAAGGAAGTATAGTTACCTAGCACCTTACATGTGTAGTATTGTATTTCAACATCAATGACATGCCTCGAATGGAGGCCCTACACCTCAACTTTGAATACAATTGATTTCATACAACCGTTTTTTTTTTTTTTTTTTTTTTTTTTTTTTTTTTTTTTTTTTTTTTTTTTTTTTTTTTTTTCTTGTTGTGATATCTCTTATGTACTCTTCCACACGTGACATTAATTCATGTTGCCATGTCATGCTAGTCATTTTTTTTGCATAGACCTTTACTCTATAAGCTTACCCTGAATCATATCATTTCTCTTGATTCGTCTTTTAAACCATTGTCGTTGATGACCATCTATGTCATTCACTCCATTCGAAGCATGTCAAAATTCAGGAGGTGAATAGTGGGACATCAATATTGACATGACACTATTCACCGACACCAATTTTTGTGTTAAGAAATAAATATGCAAAAAATGACCCGAAGCGGCTTAGAATCCCTTCTCTCCTCTCTAAATCTCTATCCTTTCTTTCTCCTACTCAGCGGCAGCAATTGAACGAATGTAATGGAATGGTGGTTTCAAAATATATTTAAAGTGCTGTTCATGGCCTAGCACTGCAGCTCTAGTTCAAAAACTCAAATTCTAGAACTCAGAGAGCTGCAATATTATTAATTGGCGCCTATGTGTTATTGCAGCGCCAAGGCGCTCGGACATTCAATAGTGGGGCGCTAAAAAAAATTTATAGTTGTTGATACTAAATATTTAAAAACTAGTACAATATGTCATTATAATATTATTTTAAGCAATGCCACAAGAATTTCAAGCCTTATAACCCAAGGGACTTGGAATCTTATTCCACCTCAATCTAATCAAAATGTTCTTGGCAATAACCGGCTATTTAGAACCAAACTTCATGATGATGGTACGGTGGCAATATAGAAAGCACACGTTGAAGCGCAAGGATACAAACAAGATTTAGCCTGTTTTAAATTTCAAACAATTCATGTATTTATCACAATTGCAGTTCAACATAAATGGCAAATTAAACAATTAGATGTATCTAATGCTTTCCTTCATGGAAAGCTCACTGAAACTATATATATGGAGCAAACTCCGAGTTTTAAAGATCCAAATCATCTCACATATGTCTGCAAACTTAAGAAGGCTATTTATGATTCAAAGCAGGTTCCCAGATAATGGTTTTCAACCTTCACAGCTTACTTTATTCAGTGGGGATTTACATTCAACATTGTTGATCCCTCCTTATTGATTTATTCTACATCTTCCATGCCCGTTTATTGCTCATTTGCGTGGATGACATTCTGCTCATGGGTAATCTCTCCAACACCATAACTCAGCTTTTGCAAGACCTCCATCATCATTTCCAACTTAAAAATCTGGGCAACATCCACGCTTTCTTGGGACTGCAAGTTCAGAAATCTGATTCTGGACTATTATTACATCAATTCAATTATGTCATGCCATTTTAGACCAAGCATGAATGACTACACGCAAACCATTACAAAATTCGGTTGCCAACAAATTAGACTTGTCACCAACAACAAGTTTACCATTTTCTGATCCACACCTCTATCGTAGTCTTGTAGGATCCCTTCAATGCATCACAATCACTTGTTCAGATTTCTCATTTGCAGGGATGTCATCATATGCACAACCTTTTAAATCAGCACGTCCAGATGATCAAATGCAACCTTCGATACCTCAAAGGAACTATTCATCTAGGATTACCTATCACACCAGGTACACAGGATCTTCGGGCCTATGTGGTGCTGACTGGGCCGACGATAAACTAGATCGGAAATCCACTATAGGGTTCTATATCCTTTTCAATTCTACTCTTATAATTGGTGTACCATAAAGCAAACAATGGTTGCCAAATCCTTCACATAATCAAAATACAGAACTCTCACCTCCACATAAATTGAAATTATTTGGCTTCGACGTTTACTCATAGAATTTAACATTCTTCTTCATCAATCCACACAGACATTCTATGATAGCATTTCTACGATATCACTAGCAAATAACGCTCTGTTTCATGTCAGAAGCAAGCAAATTGAAATAGATCATCACTATATTCATAAATGTGTCAAATCCAACACTATCAATGTCCATCACATTGCTACGGAAAATCAAACCGCCGACATATTTACAAAGGCCTTCCCAACAAACAATTTCATTTACTAAGAGACAAATTAACGCTCCATTTTCGGATCCTTAAGGCTGATAAGGATTATGTTACAAACAACCCGTTCGTGAAGGCATATCACACTCCAAACCTGCTCCACTCCGCTCACTGGTTCTGGCAACTACAGCAGTCATCACAACTGCCAGGCGTAGGAAACCGCAGCATTCATCTCAGCCGCTCATTAATATGCATCACCAACGTCCGGATCTTGATCATCTTTGTTTCTCTATACTTGATACCATTATAAATACATATAATCCTACTATACCGGGCGTATGAAGAAAATGAATTAGGGATTCAACTCCAGTTCAAAAGTTTCTTTTTAGCTTTCTCTATTTAGTTTTTTTATTGATATTTATATTCAGTTTTAATGAAGTGAAGTTATCAGAATTAAAATGAGAAAAAAAATCACTTATATATATATTTCAATATTTAAATATATATCCTTTGAAATAATCCATTTGAACGAATTGCTATAACTTATAAATTAGTCATCTCAAATTAAAAAATTTAAGAGATCTAAATTTTAAACTTTAATATTTATTTACATAATATTTAATCTTTAAATCACATAAAAAATATTATTAATATTAATTATTTTAAAATGATAAATGAACCTTTGCTCTTCCAAGTTAAATCACTTTAAATAGAATTTAGTCAACATTTCATGGGACAGGCCATTTCTTGGCGGCCACTTGGAGCTTTAGCCAAATAACAACAAAAGAAAATTGGCGGCCTTCAACATTAAAAGAAAAAAAAAAAAAAAAATCTACATTTCGAGAAGCCAAGGGCTGCTGGATCTTCAGCTCCTACAATCATCAATACTGCTCTCAGATCTTAGAATCTTCAGAGTGAAGCTGGTTTTGAACCAGAATATCTGAAAAGCTGTCGGTGTTTATTTCATCACAAAATTCAAACAGATCTATGCACAAAAAATGAATAGAAATAAGCTTAAAACTAAGGCTTCCTTTGGGGCCGCTTTCCTTGTGCTTCTTAGGCCTCGTTTGGGACGATTTTTTTACTGTTTATTGAAGCAGCTTTTTAGTACAAAAAATTTAATTTTTATACTAAAAGGCTGCTTCAAGAAATAGGAAAAAAACTGTCCCAAACGAAGCCTTAATTATTTTTTGTTAAGAAGTTGCTTAAAGAAGCAATAAAAAGTCGTCCCAAACGAAATCTAAATCCTCATTATGTAGCGCAGATGCTTTTCATGACTAAGCAATTCAGAGGGGCCTTTCACTCCAGAAATAAACTTGATGCTGGACAAATACTATAAACAGAGATCACGCATGAAATAGATCATGTATATCAATTATCATAAAATCGAGGCTTCATTTTAGACGACTTTTTTATTACTTCTTAAAGCAAATTTTTATTACATTTTTTTATTTTTTTATTAAAAAATTGTTTTAAGAAGCAATAAGAAAGTCATCCCAAAATAAAATATAAATCGTTCATTATGGTTGATGATATAATAACTCATTGATCTAATTTGAAAAAAATGATAATCAAAAGATGATAAGCTATAATGTAGTAATTTTCAAGCAGTTTGCAAAATGAGAAAGGGTGTTTGAGTTCTTTATAGACTCAATGACGATTTAACCTAAGTTTGAGTTTATATCTTAAGCAGGAAAACCTAGAAATCTCTAAATGATATTTTTCTCTCTTATATGGGTCGAAGAAGAATGAATGATGATATTGCTCAACAATTTGATTCCTAGTTCAACTCATTGAAAAAAAAAATAATTATATCAAGCTTTCTAGTTCAAAATGATATGACTTATAACTCTGACATTATGTGTCACGCCCCAAAATTTAAAGTAGATGAATTTCCTTTCTTTTTGACTTTATTATCTTTTCTTCTCATTCTAGATTCCTTTTTTTTCCCTTTCAAGTAACAGTAAGATTAATTTGACATCTAGAGCTAATTAATTGTATTAAAGAAATTCCAATAAACAACAAAAATATAATTCACATATAATCATTATTTACATTTTACATTCAGAGTACAACACAATATATATAATAGCTACCATTGGATAGAAAAGAATATATAAACCAAATAAACTAAAATAAAAGTACACTAACATCACTGCCTAGCCTCAAGCTGCAGGCTCCTTACCATTGAAATCATGTAAGATCACGTAATAAAGCATAAAAGTCCAGTCAATAATTAAAATCTTACTACTAAAATCAATGCAAGGCAAAAAGAGAAGCAATATACTTATAATAGTATAAGAAAATCTATAAATCAATATATGCTATCTATATCAATCGCCTGTATCAAATCATCAATTATGTTACACATCCCATGATGAGGGCATCAGATTTCGACATGTGTACCATCGCCGGAGGCGCCGATCGACGGCCCTGATTCAGAGTCTTTATTTTTGATGTCTTATTGTATTCATGTCATTTATATTTCTTGTCTTTTCCTTTTGTACCCCTATGAGGGAATTAGTGTTTGTTGTTGCCCAAGGGCATTGTAGTCTTTTATTTTCCGTATGTTGTTGAGCCTATATAAAGGCTAGGTCTTTGTATTTTGGGATTATTATTGAATGAATGAAAATTTTCCTTTGCTCTGTTTTCTTTGTGAGTGCATGAAGTTCTCTTGGTGAGTGCTTCCCCTTGAGATCTCTTAGTGAGTTCTCTAGTTATCTTTTCGTTTATTATTTACTTTGCTTTGCCCAATCTTCTTCCCCCTAGAGAGCTCATCCAATTTCCCCTTGACCTTGCTCTTGCCGCCGACCCCTAGGGCTTTCCCCAGCCGCTGGCCACCCCCTCCAGCCCACCCGACCACCTCACGCCGCCCCTCCTCTCTCGGCCAACTCCCCTCCATCATCCCATGTGAATTTGAAATTGAGAATTCAAATTTTGAATTCTTTCCAAATTTGGAATTCCAAATTAGGAAAGTTTGCTTGATTGAATCAATTTCAATTTATTTTAATTTTGGAGTTTTCAAATACTTATCCACATCATCATCCTAAGTTAGAAACCCTCCCCCTCTCTCCCCACAATTCCCTCTCTCTCCTTGAGCATGTCGCCGGCCCCCCATCATGCTCCCCCTTAATTGTTCCATTAACTCCCATGATTCTAATTTGAAATTCAAATTAGGAGTGATTAATTTTCCCCCCTATTTGGATTAAAACTGAAATAATTTCAGTTTAATCCCTTCCCCCTCTTTCCCCCACCGCCGGCCTCATATCCCTCTTCCCCCCATTAATTCCCATTAAGGAATTAATTGCGCTCACTTGGGAATTCAAATTTCCCCTCCAAAACTTCCCAAAACCTGAAATTTCTTCAGGAATCTCGTCGGACCACCGCAGGAACCTCGCCGGACCACCACAAAACCTCGCCGGACCACCACCTTAAGGCCCGACGTTCATCCCCGACGTCCTGCCAAAGACCCGACGTCTTGTTCAAGGCCTGACACTCAGTCCCTACTTCCTGCCAAAGACCCGACGTCTTGTTCAAGGCCTGACACTCAGTCCCTACATCCTGCCAAAGACCCGACGTCTTGTTCAAGGCCTGACACTCAGTCCCTACTTCCTGCCAAAGACCCGACGTCTTGTTCAAGGCCCGACGTTAAGTCCCGACGTCCTGCTGAAGACCCGACGTCCTGTTTAAGACCTGACGTCCTGCTTAAGACCCGACGTCCTACTCAAGGCCAGACCATCAACATCCGATCTTCCAAGTGACACTGGGACTAACACCTGACTCCTTATCTCCTACCTCCTACGGTCCTTCAGGCCTTCATCGCCTACTACGGTCCGTCCGACCTCCATCACCAGACAACGGTCTTTCAGACCCCAGTCTTCTACCGCCTACGGTCCTTCAGGCCTTCGTCGCCTACTATGATCCTTCCGACCTCCATCAACAGACAACGGTCTTTCTGACCCCGGTCTCCTGCCGACCACGGTCTCCTGCCGACCACGGTCTCCTGCCGACCACGGTCTCCTGCCGACTACGGTCCTTCAGGCCAAACAAACATGTATATGTAACTCCTACCATGTAATGCAATCTATATGATGTACATTTGCTACATCAATCCAAGGCCCTCCTAAGGAAGGGTCTCATTTGTAATCGACTACAAATACTAGTGGATTCATTCAAACTGGGCCAGGCCCCGTGGTTTTTCCCCCTTTTCAGGGGTTTTCCACGTAAAAAATCCTGTGTTCTCTGTGTGTGCTAGTTATACGTACAACGCTAAGACGTAGAATCAAATCTCTATCGCCGCGTAATTTCTAGCCCGCAACAATAAGGCATATGAATTAAAGAATCTTTTGGCTTACAAAACTTTTTCTAAAAAGATGTTAGATGATTTGTTGATTCTTATTTTTAAGAATAAAGATAATACATGAGAGTGTATAAATTATAAAGGAATTTAGTTAATGTGTTATACATTAAAATTATGGGAGAGTGTTATTGATCATTCACAATAATAATGTTTCTCAAAATCAATTTGGATTCATGCTAGGTAGGTCTACTATGGAAGCTATACATTTATTGAGAGGTTCGATAGAGAAGTATACAGAGAACAAGGAAGATCTATATATATTATTTATTGATTTAGAGACAGCATATAATAAAGTTCAATTCTAAGAGAAGTGTTATGGAGAGTTTTAGAAAAGAAGGGAGTTAATAATGCTTATATTCCAAGTCACTAAGGATATGTATGCACGAGCTGCTATTTGTGTTCAAGCAAAAATTTGTTTGACCAAATGTTTTCATATTTCAATTGGATTACATCAAGGACCAACTTTAAGTCATAAATGTTCTTTCTGACATTTGTAAGAGGATGAACCCTAGTGCATGCTTTTTGTTGTTGATATTCTTCTTGTTGATAAGACTAGAGAGGGAGTTGAAAGAAAACTTGAATTTTTGAGGTCAACTTTAGAGTCTTAAAGGTTTTCATTTGAGTAATCTAAAATCGAATATATGGAGTGTAATTTTAGTACTAATAGATCTAGCTGGGGGATTATGACTTAGGGTTAATAAGAATATGTTTTATATATCTTGAATCTATTGTTTAAAATGATGATGAAATAGATGGAGATATTATTAGTAGAATTCAAGTTGGATGATTGAAGTAAAGGAATACATTGTGCTTATTGTGTGTTAGAAAAGTATCTCTCAAACTTAAGGAAAAATCCTATAAGATGGTGGTGAGACCTGCAATGATTTATGGCGCAGAATGTTAGCCATTAAAAGAGAAGCATAAAAATTAAGTTAAATGCTACAAAGATGAAGCTGCTTAGGTGGATGAGTTGCTTCCCTCTTAGAGACAGAATGCAAAACAAGTATATCCATAAAAATGTTAGAGTAGCTCCAGTGGCAGATAAGATTAGAGAGTAATATCTGATGGTTTGGAGACATAAAACGTTAGTCTTTTGATGTCCCGATTATGAGAGCAGATGATTTAGACTTGACATATGTTAAGAAAGGTAAAGATAGACCTAAAGACTTGATTAGAAATGACTTTTTTATTAGATATAAAAGAGAATTTAACTTTTAACATGACACAATGGAGAAGAATGATTCATGTAGCTAACCTCACTTAGCAGGGTAAAAACTTGATGTTGGTGTTGGTGTTGTTGTTTTATAGAACACTAAAATCTCTAAATTATATAAAAAAACACTAATATTTCCTTAAATAAAACACAATATTTCATACATATGCTTTAATGTGAGTTAGATAATAATATGATATAAATAAGTAAATATAAATATTTAAATGTTATATATATATAAATATATAGAATTTAGGAGTATGTATGAAAATCCCCAAATTTATAATTATCATTACAAAGCCAAAAACATGGAAGACTTCAGCATTCATTTAATCACAGAAATGGCAACGGATATAGGCAGCGATCTTACCTTTCCTTGACAGTCGTGTAGTTATTGTTTGCAGGCAAGAGCTCCTCCGCTCCGATTCTCATGTTCGGAGTTGAAAAACTCTTCCTTGTTCCATCATCAAGAACTTCAACCTCCACCTTAAAAATTGCACATACTGGCCGATGGTCAGAAAATCTGGATTCACCTCGAATGTATGACAACTGAACAATTCCATCACCATGCCAAAGTATTCGGTCACACCTGATAAAAGCATTAAGATTCATCAGAAAATCGGAATTATCAGCATGTCTATTTTTAGATTCTCTCAAAAAAAGCATGGATACTTCACAAATACTAAATTTGTAATTACTAGCTGTGCCCTTTATAAAGTCATGCATGATGACCCGATGTTATGTTTGGACTCTAATTGTGTTGATCAATTAGATTGTTTTTTTGCCTTGAACCTCAAGTTTTTCGTGCTCAATGGGGGTGCGGCAGGTTTACCCCCTACTTGAGTTCAGGTGTTGTGTACCCGTGCGCCGACGCTATGTACCCGAGTGCCCCAGCACTATATTCATGAGCGCCCCAGTGTTGAAAGACATAGAGCGGAGCGCTGCAACAATCTAGATACGGCGCCGCAGCGGATCAAGGCAGAGGTTTGAGCGCTGCAGTGCTGCAAGACGGACTGGATGGCTTTCTTTCTCGTTTTTTTGAAGGGTTGCATCCCTTGGGGTTATTTACGTGACTTTCTCTTGTATTTGGAAGGGTTAAATTGAGAACGGTACATGTGAGAATAGAAACAAGGAGAGATTGAGAGAGAAGAGATATCTGTACTTATTTCTCTCAATTTTCATTATGAATTTCTTGGTGTGGTGTGGCTCCATGGTTTTTCCCCTATTTTGATTTTTTCCACATTAAATCTTGGTGTCCTTTATTTTTTTTTTTGCTGCTTTTACTTTCTTGCTTGTTTCTTCATGGTGGTGTTTACTCCTCATCCCCAACACTTGGTTATACTATAAAGATGTACATAAGGTTTAGGGCTACAAATGAATAAAAAAACTCAACAAACTACTTTTGGCTTAGCTTGGTTAGAGCTTGTTAATGATAATTTAACTAACTAATAGAATCAATTTAAACGATTTTATAAATACTCGATTGATAAAAGAACAAGTTTGAACAACTTGGTGTTGATTCACTTATAATTATGAATAATATCATTTAAAGCTCATGAACAAGCTCATTAAGAGACTTAATTAAGGCATGACAATATGACTCAATCACAAAATTATATAATGTTACAAAGTTATGTCAACCTTCGTGTCAGCACCACGGTCATGACAAGTGAGTGCAATGTGCAAGATGACTAACGAATATGAGGTCATGCATAACAAACTTCGAAATGCCTTGATCATATTCAAAATTACTTAAACCTCGTTCAATAGTAAAATAGATCACACTGGTTCACTCATAGCATCAAATTTATCAAAGAAGCACCACTCGCTCACAACTCGATTGAGTTAGGACGAAAGTAGCAATTGGCCAGTGTGACGCTATCCAAATGACATTCGATCATGAAGTCACTTAAGAGAGGACCCGTGTTCATTCAAGCAAACACGAAAAAAAAAAACAACTAGAAGCACGATGTTGCTCGAGGTTTCCCGAACAACATCCATCCATGAAACAAACTTTGTCATTACATTTGAAACGTCAAAATTACTCTAAAGACACTCATATTGCATGAGTTCTCACACGAGTTGGAAATAAAAAATTTGCCCATGCACAAGGTGCAACACACATTTTGAGACACAAGAAAGTTACGTGAGAATCGACACATCTCTTTTGTTCATTTTAAATATTATTTTAGTTAAATTTCATAATATATAACAAAATTAATTAAAATACCATTGTATCTAATCTACCCCATCACCTTATCCTCATGCCCAAGCCCAAATCCTACAATTCAGTGCTGCCAAGCTCCCCGTCATGCTAATACTGGCTGAATAACTAAAAAACAAAATTAACTTCAACTTTCGTCGCCATCAGACGTGCTAGAACACTCCCATTTCTCTACATCTCAAGCATTTTTCTTGTAAAAAACTCCCATGTCCCTTTTGCTCTACCCTATATTCCTCACAATCCTCCTCTCCCCTAGCTGAATTATCTACCCAAACACCCAGTCCTAAGGTTGCTAACAAACAGAGCATTCAACGAGTTACTCATGGCCCAGCTCATTTAAACTTTGTTTGTAATCGTTTAATTAAGTATGCAAATTAAATGGAACATTTTTTAAATACTTTATGCTTATATGAACAAACTTGAACAACTATGCATTCGACTCATTTATGTTCAAGCAGAACATCATTTAAAACTCGTGAATAAGCTTAGTAAAAGCTTGATTTTTATTCGATGGAGAGCATGAAAATAAGCTCGTTACATACTTGATTAATATTTGATTATAAAATTGATTAACATAATATAAAGATTTATAATTATTATGATATGATGATATAATTAAAAAAAATGATATAATGATATAATAATTGTTAATTAATAAAATTAAATTAATTAAATATTATAAAATATATTAATTAAATAAATGTTTGTTTAAAATGTCCATGAACAAATTTTTCTATAAGAAAAATCACAGTTCGTATGTTCGTGAATGAGCTCAGCTGGTACTCAGCTGATAGTTTGAAAATACTAGCTAGATGTATTCGTGAATGGACTTGTTTGATAGCTCGAGAACACTAGTTAGATATGTTCATGAACGAGCTTGTTTGAATTTTTGAAAACCCTTGCTAGATATATTTTTGAAAACGCTCATAAGATATGCTGGTAGGTGGACTTATTTGGTAATTCAAAAATACTTGCCAGATATGTTTGTGAATAGGCTCGATATTATTATTTCATATTAGGCTTAATAAAGCTCGATCATTTAGCTAATAAACATCTAGAAGTATAGCTCATTTATAGCTCAATAAGACTCAAATCGAGTTCAAACAATCATAATTTTAATGAACTGAGCTAGAACACTATTACAAACACTCTAATTGATCTTAATTGAGCTTAAGCTCAAGCTCATTTTTGGCAAACTAGCTCAAGCTCGAGAAAACTTCTACTAGGCTCAGCTCAATTCATCGGGATCCCTACTAAGCTTCTTGCATGAAAATGAATAAATAAGAACAACAATGAAACAAGTGGAGTTTTTTTAAAAAAAAAAAAAAAAGCATGCCAGTTGAAAAAAGAACATCACATTACCATGCAGGAGTTCTTCTTTTAATGTTAGAATGAACACCTTCTCCCGCATATGAATCGGAGTTGCAGTAATACTTGTATGTAGGGGCAAAATAAATCTTCCCTTCATTCCATCCCTTAAACACTCGTCCAGCATCTCTCTCAATCTTGAGCTAAAACAAAGTGATTCAAATTATGACTCTTCTTCATACACAAATAAACAATAATGCATAAGAAGTAATTATACTCGTGCTAATGGAAATTAGATACAAGAATAAATCCCATAGTACCTTTGCGAAAGTAAGCCAAAAAAAAAAAAAAAAGTATTCATGTAACGAATAGAGTTGGCAAAGACCGTATGATAAGCAAGCCAAAGATACTAGGTACTCATTGAAAAAAAAAAATTATATGAACTAACTCAGTAACTGAGGATTTACCTGGTCTTTCTCTAGAAGTGCATCCCACTCATTATCCTGAAGCAATTTCTTTGTTTCAAGGTAGCTCAATGCAATTCGATAATTCAAATCACCAAACCAAATAATCCGACTGGCCAAATAAGAGAATAAAACGAGTTATTAAGTTACTGGTAAACAAAAAGCTGTTGTAAAGCTGATTGCAAACCATGCAGAAAAGACGGTACTCACTCATGTTGAAGGATTTTCATAGGCATTCTTCGGCAACGCTTGTTGTAGGTCTTTCGGAACTGTGTATTCTTGAGTATCTCATTGACATCGGAGTTTCTTCTTAGTTCATCCCCTTCTTTATCCCCCGATGCTAAGTGACTGCAGATGAAACAAAGACTAGTCTGATGCAATGTCATGCTCACAGATATGCAACCCTGGACAAATAAGAAAATAAAATTATGTAACTAAAATCAAAGGAAAAAGTAAAGCGTTTAACAAGATATTGAACTCAAAAGCACTGTCAGCCATAGTTTGTTATGTCAAGAAGCATTAGATGCTAAGAGTTAGCATTATACATCTACTTCAAATGAGCACGATCAACACCAAATCCTTTAGATTGGTGTGAAGAATAGAAATTAAAGCAATAACCAGACTGCTTCAACTTATGTACACTAGTACTCACCTTGTTGCCAAGATAACCCATCACCCCACGCCCAATGCAGGAGATCCTTAAATGTCTTATATGCTGCACAAGTTCTCTTCTTGCCCATACAGTCACAAAAAGCCCCACCATCTGTTTGCTAGCTATGAGGCTGTATCTTCTGTGGTTACTTCTGCTACTAAATTGAGCAGTAATGTCCATAATAATAGAATTATTTGGTAAATCCTCCTCATCAGAGTCATCTTCAGTACTGTAATAGGCATTTTGGCACCGGAAACACGAGTCTGCAGAATTTTTCCTTGTTGATTCTGATGAGCAGTTGCAGGACTTTAGGGACTTTCTTTGGCCCATAATAAAAGTTTTACTGACGGCCTTCAGTGATAGCTTCTGAAAGAATAATAAATTCCGGGGACTACGCAAGTATGGGGATGCTGGAGCCTTGGTATTGGAAGCTTCAGAACAGTCAACATTGTCAGACGGGGTGTTAGAAGAGATAGCTGCATCAGGCTCCAATGGCATGTTCAAAGCTTGATGAATCAGAGAGAGCCATTTCACTGCTGGATCAGTGTCTTCTACGACAAGCACATTTCCAGCATTCAGAGGGACTATTTCCTGAAAACTATCCGCACCTCAGAAAATGTGAAAGGAAGTATTAGAAAGTATTGAGTCTACCAACATAAAATAATGATATAGTTCAAGAAAAATCAATGTAGACTAATATGATACATACCCTAGTACATACACATCAGAGCCATCATTTTCCATAAGAAAGTTACCAAGATTTAGCCCATCATGAGGGTGTTTTCCACCGACATTCCATGTTGCAACAAAAATTCTATGGCAAATCACAATAGCCAAAGGTTAAGGTCCTGTATCTAATGCAAAAAAACAGATAAACTGTGATCATGAAGGAATAAAGATGAGAAATTCGCAAGCGATATTATACCTGAAGTTCTGCGTATTTGGAATGTCGATTGGCGGTGTAGAGGATTCACCAGAGCTCATGTTAACAGGCCTCAAGTAATATTCTGTTCTTCATTATTAAATAAGGAATCCACGGTAGAAAAACAATTCCATGAAAAGAAAATCTTTCCACATACAACATAAATCTGGAATCAATAAGAAAACCATACCTGCGAACGATGGGGGCTCAAATAGTTCAGCTGTTATTTTGGAAATTAAACAAATAAAATCAGAAAGGATTGATTAGAAAGAGTTCAAAAATATGCATATGAAAAAGTATATTTTTATGGGGGATAGAAGAGATATTTCCCAAATGTTATGTTGATCATTTAATTCAAAATGAAAATGTGCCTATTCAACTCCAATTGCCTGTTTGTTATTTATGATCTTTACTTTGAAATATTATTGTAATACTATACTTGATGCTTTTAGTACAAAACATTGGAAATCCCTGCAATCAAGAGAGTACTACAATCAATTTTATTGTTAAAGTATCGTTGACCATCCCTTCCAATGCAGGTGCAGGTGACTACTTGTATAAAATCATGCTTTTATAGCTTAATGGAACAAATGGACGACAATTATCCAGAAGGTTCAAAAAATAGCATTAGTCGAAGCATATTGATGGAAATTTAGAGTGGCAGAACCTAACAATGTTGCTCTTCTCATAATAACTTGAAAACTCCAAGCAACCCTTTTTTTTTATTTCTTAAACAAGTAGAATGCACGCATTAATTATAGTTGCTCCAACATAAGATATCTCTGAATATACCAGGAGAGTCAGGTGAGTCATCATTTCTTTTGGATGACGAACTCTTCAGTCCCAGTCCAAAAAACCAGGGAACAAAGAACTGCAAAACCAACAATTGTAAAAAGATAAACAAACTAAATGCTTCTCAAATTAATTTCGTTTTCCATGAGAATTCTTTGAAGTCGCACTAAAAATAGGAAGAGAGAAATTACAGTGGTAATTCTTAATTAGTTCAATTACCTTCCTTCTCCTTTCATTCCCAGAGATCATCTTTCAAGACCTTGCGCCTTCCCACTGTTCCGCCTGTGAACTGTGAAAAATGAGACGCACAAGGAAATTGATCAACAGAATGAAACCAGAAATGCATAAGAAATGTACGAACCAAATACACTATTTTTCCTCTCTTTCCCTCCAAGAAAATAGAAATCAAACCCTAATTAATTAAGGAGGATGAATTTTTTGGAGCCGGAACAATCAACTATAAACGACCCCAACAAATATCACCAAATGGTGAATAGATGCAATCCAAAAGATAAAAAAGCAAGCTAAAGGAAACCCGTCATAAATTCGGTAATCATACTAAAATTTTCAAAGCAACAGCAACCAATAATTCAGAAGACAGAAGTTTTGGTTAACCTTTAACATCATCTACGATTACAACTGTTCCTCTTTGATGAATAGAAGACAAATCCCCTCTCCCCCAAAGAAAGAGACAAACGAGGAAAAAGCTTTAAATAATAAAAAAAGAAGCAGCTTTCACCTCCTCGATTACTCGCCCAAAATTACTTTCAAATGGCATCAAACGGTGTCTGACAGGAGATCCCATAGAAACTGGCAATAGTTGCTAAACAGACAAATCCCACAGATGAAAGTTCATGAAACGAGAGAAAGAGAGAGAGAGAGGATCTGTACAAAAACAGCTCTGCAATAAATTTAGATTTTTATTAGAGATAAGAATGACGCGAATCAATAGAGGGATCCGGTTCCTCGCGTCCAGGCTCATGCGGCAAATCATAGACCCGTACCCAGGATGAGGGTAATTATCTCCAAACCCAACATGCGAAATTTAACTATTATTAAATGTATATAATTAAAATACAAAATTTTAAATTTTATTAAATTAATTGAATGTGTTTATATAGAGATTAAATAAATAAATTACATTATAACTAATTATTATAATACAATTATGAATTTTTTATCAACAAATTTATTTGATTTATCTTGATTCAATTTTATAGTTCTACTCATAAGGTTCCATTAGATTTAAATATCTTTACATTTGTAGCATGCTAGAAGATTTGCGATGATAAAGAGAGAATAACATTATAGCTTTATACGATAATCCAACACATACATATAAAAAGAGGAGATGCAACTTGCAAGTGACATCTTAGCTTTTTTCATGAAAAGCCCAAAAAAAATGAAAAAATTTTTAAATTATTTTTATAGATGCCGGAGGAAGAAGGATAGGGGAGTATTGGATTCTCAGAAGACAGAAGCTCAAAAATACTCTAAACTAGCCTGTATGTAGGGCTGCAAGCGAACCAAACGTTCGACGAGCTACTCGTTGTTCGGTTCGATTAAAGCTCGTTTGTGATCCATAATACTAAGTTAAGTTTGACAGAGATGAAAATGCTCAGGTGGTTGAGTGGCTTTACCCTTAGAGATAGGATACGAAATGAGCATATACGTGAAAAGGTTGGAGTAGCTCCAGTAGAAGATAAGATTAGAGAGAGTCGCCTTAGATGGTTTTGGTCACATAAAACGGCGGCCTTGCGATGACCCGGTTAAGAGAGTAGAGGTATTAGATTTGACTTGTGTTAAGAAAGGTAGGGGTAGACCTAAAAAGACTTGGTTAGAAAATATTAGGAATGACCTTTCTTTATTACAAAAGTTTAAACGAGAATTTGGCTTTTAATAGGACACAATGGAGAAAAAGGATTCATATAGCCGACCCCACGTAGTGGGATAAAGGCTTGATGTTGTTGTTGTTGTTGTTTATCCAATGGTGATTTCGATTTAAGTTTTTAGTGTATTATAGCTTTTACTTAGCTTTTTTAGAGTTTGTAAATTTTTTTTTTAACTTTTTTCATATTACATTGCTATGCTCAATTAGTTTACTGTTGCTATAGTTTTATGAGTTTATAGAAATTAATTATTTTTTGTATTTAAAAAAAAAATTCTTTTTTTAGGGCAAATATGAGATTTATATTGAATCAACTATTTATGTTATTAATGCTCAGGACTTTTAATATTTATACAAAATTTAATGTTATTTTTCCTGATTATTTTGGATTTTTAGTGATGTTTTCTAGTATTTAGGTCATTTATTAATTGTTATTATTACATTTAACATTGAATTTGTTAAAACTTATTATGTAAGGTTTAAATGAGTTTTTTTAGAATTCATGAAATTATTCTGTAATAAGAGAAAAGATTCAAAGAATATCTCATAAAAAAATTGAATTATTTTAAAAATCTTTAAATTTTAATTATTTTAAAATTATTTTATTGACAAAACTTAAAAATAGTATTTAAATAAGTTCTAAAAATTCTGAGAAAACTCTGAAAGATTTAGAATAACCTGAAACACCTCCCATAACAATTTGAATCCATTTAGATTTATGATGAGTTTTTATAATTTTAATTTAATTTAATGACCCTATTTTTATTTCATATTTAAATCAATTCCGAAATATTAAATGAAACTTCTCACAAGGTTTTAGAAGGACCTTAGGAGGGCCCTATTAAAAATTTTATAATTATTTTGATTTTTTTTCTTAATGTATTATGATTTATCTTAATTATTAGTGTGTTTTATTTAAGAAAAATTTTAAAATTAATTTTTTATGGCCTAAGAATCTATCATTTACAGTCAAGCATAAAGAATAAATTAGTGTTTCATAACGTAAAACTTACATTTGTTCCTCTTGATGTGTAGAATTTGTATCACATAATGTTGCTGTGTAATGCTTTGAGATTTGGTCTTTATTATAACTAGTCAATATTGTCCATCTCTAGGTCCAGGCAGATACCTAGCAAAATGAAGTTGTTATGCTTGGCGTGCTATGACAAAAGGTCTTTATACAATCATAGAATAGTTCTTACAAGATAACATAGTTTAAGTAGAAGAAATAGGCATATATATATATATATATATATATATATATATATATACTCTCAAATGCTATAGAATCAGTCTATCAAATGGCCTTCACTTTTCCTATAAAAAGCTTCCATGAGAACAATGATTGCAACAATCTCTCATTGAAGAAAGGCTAAGCATACAGCTTACACCTTCTCCACCTTTAATTAAGCTATAACAATGGAGTTCTCCCAAAGAATGCTTCATGCTCTTCTTCTTTTCATGCTTATCCTCCTTATTTATGGTATATATATGTGGTTAACTTTTCTTTAAGTGAATATATACAACTCTTTTGAAAATTTTATGTATATGTTTTGTTGACTATGATAAATAATTAATAAATAAAAAATCAACAAGCTGACACTCATCATGGAACATATATATGATAAATAACTTATTGATTGAAATACACGATGACTATTTGCGATAATCTTATATAAAAATTTTCTTCAATCAGATGTTGCAGCGAGTACTAAGAACGTAAGGGTGAAGGATAAGGAGATGAAGGATCCAACACAAACAATAGCTTGTGATCATAATGGATGCAATGATGATGATGACAACAGCCATTGTGATCCTCAAGAATGCAGTCGAGGATGTTATTTGGTTTTTCATTCCCAAGGCCATTGCATAGACGATGAATGCAAGTGCCGTAATGAATAAACTTATTGACTTAGAATAGACGGCCAACCAGATCTTTGCTATTGCTAACAGTGATAAAACTCATATGACCTTGCGATGTACGTATGGCATGCCATGCATGATGGCTTCATAAGAAAATTTCTCTTACTTCTTGGTTTGTTACTTTCTCAAGTATTGGCATACCCAAACCAATATAAGTATTAATTGTTTGCTTGAGAAGGGGGTTAATTTGAGTTTCCTTTATCTAGGCTATGTTCTATTGTTGACAATATAATAAGTTATCTCTATTTAGCAAGTAATTTCAACTCAAAGGCTCAAAGTTGCTGTAATTCTGTTAATTTCTATTATTTATGGATTATTTTTTTTCAATTTGTGAGGGAGGACAGGCACTAATGTTGGGATCGGGTTAGCAAAGAATATTTAATAAAAATTGAGATTATTTTAGATTTTTTAATAATTTCTTCTTAGTTTTATTAAAATGAATTCAAAATAATATTTAAATAAATTGTAAAATTTATTATGAAATTTTCAGAGATTTGGCACAACCATTGGACCACTTAACAAATTTTGAGAACATTTAAACCACTTGGCCCTTCCTTATCTGGCTTGACCCATTTGGGCTAGTGATTAACGTATTATGACGATGAAAATAATGGTTCTATGAAGAGGCTCGCCATTTAAAGCCATCTGAAATGAAAATATATGAGGTTAAATTTTATTTGTATTATAGATAAACAAGTTATAAAATATAAAATATAAAACACATAAATAAAATTTTAATTTTATTATCTATCATTTACAGTGAAACATAACGAATAAATTGGTGTTTCATAATGTGAACTTTCCATATTAAAAGATATATATTCATTTTGTAAACTATCAACTATTCATCTATTAAAAATATATATATTCATAATGTGAACTTTCACTGGTTTCTACTGTCTCTTCATCTATTATTTTGTTTGCACTAAATTCGTTGATGGAACTATCAACTTCTTTCAATTGTGTCTCGACCAAGCTGTAGGGATTAAATCCTCCAGCTTAACACTTGCATGCAGGTCCTCTAAAATCTTACATTTGTTCCTCTCGATATGCATTTTGTATCACATAATGTTGCTTAATTTGTAATGCCTCGAGATTTGATTTTTATTACAACTAGCCAATCTTGTCCATCAGAGGTCCAGGCATATATCTAGCAAAATGATATGCCGGAGGATTTAAATAACAGGTTCAACTTAGTGTGAATATTATGTATTTACAGAATTCTTTAAATCGTGAAATCAAAATAAAACTCCAAACTCTTAAAATTTGAATAAAAGTTATTGATACTTCATGCAAAAATTATCTTGATCGGGCACTAATCTCGAGGCAAAAATCAAGTTGGAAACTTCAAAAATTAAATCCGGGAGCACCTGAACTTTGATTTCAGCGAGCTTACAGTCAAACTGAGCGTCTCGGAAATAGGAACCCAACGACACCAAATTCAACTCAATCTGAGCCCAAATGATCCCAAATCGAGCACCCGAAGCGCTGTTGGAAAGTTCGTACCACAATTTGAGTTGACAAACGGTCTCTGATTTTGGCGAGCTTATAGTCGAATCGAACGGCTCGACGAGACGAATCCAAGATCGCCAGATTCCGACATCATTAAAGCCTTCAAATGGCTAACGAATGGTGTATGATCAAGGGATTCAATATCAGCCGTCCATTCAACCACTCCCTGTTCGCCCCTGATCTCACGCCTATTTACAAGTCATGCCACTCCAGAAAAACTATAAATAGACCCCTCATTTCTCATAAGAGGGGACCCAAGCAAGAGAGAGAAGAAAAGAAGAGAAGAAGAAGAGAAGGAGGAGAATCAGCTCCTCCTCGACCACCGTCGGAGTTCTTTTTGCCGCCTGAATACGCAGGATTCCTGCCGTATATTCGGGAGACGCCAGAATTCTGCATAACTTTGTAACTGAATTTCAATTCAGGAGAAACTCTTTGTAATCTGATCGTCCTAACTTGTGGGACGAATTAGCCTCTGTACTTCAAACAAACACTAGTGGAATTACTTCAACTGAGCGTGGCCCCGTGGTTTTTTCCCTCTTTTGGGTTTTCCACGTAAAAATCCTGGTGTTCTTTTCCTTTCCTGTTTGTGTGTTGAATA